CACGTGGGTGGGCTGGCAGGAGATCCGGAGGGCCATGGTAGATGGGTGGTGCAGGCAGGTGGGGGATCCAGAGGGCTGTTACAGGTGTGCAGGGTGGCCTTGGGAGGGACCACATCCCATCAACCGCTTTGCTGGCACTGGGGACACAGAGCTAGGAGCAGACACTGCCCCAGGTCCTCGCAGCAGGGACATCATGCATACACTCTTCGCAGCGTGTTGCTGGAGTCTCCTCGGGGAGCAAACCTCAGAAGCAGAAGAGGTCAGGTGCAGGCCACTGCTTGTGGCTGCAGGAAGCTAGCTGAGGGGCTGCGGGGTCGTCCCCCAGCTGGCAAGTGACTGTGGCCTGGTGGGCAGGGCCCTGCTGTCCCAAAGGGGGGTGTGCGTGCCCAGGGTGCTGGGGGGAGGAAGGCACAGCCTTGCGTCCTCGATCAAGCTGGCCACACTCCCGGGGTCCTGTCGGGGTCCCGTGGGCCTTGTCAGGAGGACGGCTGTGAGCAACGGTGTTCTTCCTTCATTGCGTCCAGGCCGGATCCCCGACAGCCTGAAAAACTGCGTGAACAAAGACCACCTGACAGCTGCCACCCACTGGGCCAGCATGGACCCAGGCGTGGTGCACCCCGAGCTCAACGGGGCAGCCTACAGGTAAGTGGGCGGCCGGCGCAACTCCTGGGGACGGCGGGCGGGTGAGCAGTGGGCAGGCAGGATGGATGGGTGGCGGGTGGCTGGCCCGGGCCTCCAAGGAGGACAGCAGATAGGTAGGGCAGGTGGGCAGTAGGCAGGCGGGCAGGACAGACTGGGCTGGGTGTCCATCCTCAGTGAGGAATGTAGCCTCCCTCCCTGCCTGTGGAAGCTTCCCTTGACCAGGTACCTAGAGACGCACAGAAGCTGATTTAAGAAATCTCAATGCCCGTTACGAGCACTGAACAGGCCCTCTGCCGCCAGAGCACAGTCTCTTTTGAGTCAGCTTGCTCAGACCTGGCTGCCGCACGCTGTGTGACAGGTTTAGTCCCCATGAGGAGGTCTGGCTGCCCCTGGGGGGTGGGTAGGGGCCTGCGAGCCAGCCGAGGCTGGGGTGGGAGGGTGGTCCCGGGTCTGGGTTATCAACTGGGGGACAGAAGCATATCCAGGGGACCCTGGTCGCTCTGCAGACCCTTGCCCTGTCTGGGTGTCCTTGGCGCCCCATCCACACATGGAGGATCATCTGTGACCCCCCAGAGAGCTCAGAGGCCCTGCCGGGATTATGCCAGAGTTTATGGCCCTGTGTTCTCCGTGGGGTCGGGTTGGTCCCCTGATGACTGGGGTGGCAGAGCCTTCTTGAGGGACCACAGGTCACTCCGGCCTGGGAGTGAGCAGGTGGTGGGGCAGGGGCTGGCCAGCAGGAAGCACAGCAGCCCCCCTGGGGGGCCTGTTATAGCTGAGGGAGGTGTGACCAGGGCCTGGTGGAGCCCAGGGTCGGGCAGAACATGACCTGGTCCCTGTACACTGACGGCCCCATGAGCCATGGGGGTGCTGCCTTCAGGCATGGTGGTCACGGGACCACTGGGGCAGGCGGGTGAGAGTCCTCTGGCAGAGGAAGGCGGTTGTCTACCTGGACTCTGCGCCCTCAGCTTTCTGGAGGTGCAGGCGAGGGCTTGATGACAGGCGATCTGGGTGTCACCTGGAGATGCCAGGCAGGGACGCCGCCTCCCCCAGCTCTGCCTGTGCCAGCCAGGGGCTTATAGATCGCCAAGATGGCGTCCTCGCCCTCCCCACCGAGGCGTCAGTGCTGCGGTCACAGTGAGGAGCCAGAGAGGCCCCAGCCAGCCGGGCCTCACCTACAGCCGGGCCTCACCTGCATCTGTCTCTCCCAGCAGGTACCCCCCAGGCGTGGTGGGCGTGGCCCCCACCGGCATCCCAGCCGCTGTCGAAGGCATCGTCCCCAGCGCCATGTCCTTGTCCCACGGCCTGCCCCCTGTGGCCCACCCGCCCCACGCCCCTTCTCCCGGCCAAACTGTCAAGCCCGAGGCAGATAGAGACCACACTAGTGACCAGTTGTAGCCCGGGCAGAGCTGTCCACCCCGCGCCCCGGCGGAGGGGCCGCGCGGCCCTCGGACCGGCGTGCGCAGAGGCAGCGACGCCACCGTGCAGAGGCCCCGGCGCCCAGAGACTGGCCCGGCACGCGGGCAGGAGCAGCAGCGAGCAGCGGCGCCGGCCTGCGCGTCCCATTGTAGTCGTCCCGTCCCCGGACTGGCTCATGTCCTGTGTCCTGCGCGTCTTTCGTTAAGCAAAAGAAGTTAGTAGTTAATTATATCATGAATGTACTTGTCTGTGTACAGTTTTTAGAACATTAAAAAGGATTTGTTTGCTTAGCTGTCAACAAAAGGAAAACCCGGGCGAGCGTTCGGCAAGTGGATCCCCAGATTATTTTTTCCTTTTCTATGTTGAAGCGTGCCCCGGAGCGAGGCAGTTGGCAAACTTCTCAGGACAATGAATATTTCCCGTTTTCTTTCCACGCCACACAGTGCATTGTTTTTTCTACCTGCTTGTCTTATTTTTAGAATAATTTAGAAAAACAAAACAAAGGCTGTTTTCCCCCCGATTTTGGCATGAGTCCCCCTGTTCCCCGTGAAGTCAGCGCTGCAAAGCAACCCGAGGGAGGGAGCCGTTTGCACCGACGCCCACCATGCTCGCCGCGCCTCGCCGCGCCTCGACGCTGAGCCGCGGGCGGCGGGCCACGGCAGCTTCGCCTGGCCAAGGCCGTCCTGCTGATGTGGTAGGCTAGCAATATTTTGGTTAAAATCATGTTTGTGACTGTAACCATTTGTATGAATTATTTTAAAGAAATAAAAATCCCAGAAAGAGCCGGTGAGCCCCGCATCTGCTTCAGCGGCTCCGTCTCACCGGGACCCTGGTGCGTCTCATCCGGCTGTGTTTCTCCTCACCTGGCGGGTGTTGGAGGCCCAGGTCGTGGGGCCGAGGTGCCTGTGGGTGCCGCCTGCACCATGTAGGGTCTCTAAGCAGACCGGGGCCCCTGGCTCAGAAGCTGGGCCTGAAGTGGCACCGCAGGGGGACACGGCACGCCAGGCAGGGCACTTCCCAGCACTGTCCTTCGTCAGGACGGTGGTCCGACTGGCCGCCAGGGCCTGGCTGGTGCCACTGGGAACCATCTCTGTCCTGGGCCCACCTCCCTCGGAAAGCCCGTGACCTGGGCAAAAGTGGGCTGCAGAAGGACGAAGACAAGCAGAGGGCCAAACCTCTGCCAGCTGAAGATCAGGAAGGGAACTGCCAGGAGATCCTGGCTAGACAGCTCAGAGAGGTGGGCCGATGAGGGAATGAGGGGGCTTCCGTGCCTCCCCACGGCTCAAGGTCCTTGTGGAGTCACAGCATCCTGAGAGCCATGTCTGTCACATCACCTCCTGTCAGACGATCACCAGTGCACACAGGGCTGCCTCGCTTCCTTGTTCAAAGCCCCTCTCTGCACCCACTGAGCCCACACGTCCGTGTCTCTGCTCTGAGATGGGGTTTCAGGTCCTGACTTCTCTGCTCACCACTGACCGCTTCCATGGTGCAGGGACTGGGCAGGAATGGGGCCCTGTGTCTGCCCCCAGAGGCTAGCCAGGGCCCACATTGTGGAGAGACCCATGCCACCACGCAGCCCCCAGGTGTCACTCCCAACTCGCCAAGTGCTGTCTCTGTTCCTCTTTCCACACACCCCCTTCTTCTCGGTGCAGTTTGGTTCCTTCTGAAGTTCATCCTTTAGTGGTCTTTTCAACATGGTTCTGTTAGGGGTACATCTCTGAACATACCTACTTGGGGCAAACGCTTCTGGAGACAGTGTTTTAGTTTTGCCCACACACTTGAGTAATCGCTTGGCTGGGCACAGACTCAAGTTAGGAGTTGTTTGTCCCCACTTTGCACATGTTTCTCTATTGTCTTCCAGCTTCTATCCTGGAGAAGCCAGCTGCTCGCCAGATTATCCTCCCTCTGGAAATCTCTCTTTTCTCTGTGGTTGCTTTTTTGTTTTATTTTTAAATAATTTGTTTTGTTTTTGGTGAAAGTTTGCACAGCGAGTTTAGGCTCCTGCTAGACAATTTCCATACAAATTGATCAGTGACATTAATCCCATTTTCCACATTGTGTCAGCATTCTCTTTAACTGTGTTCTGATTGTTCTGTTTCCAGTATTCTAGTTTCCCTGCCCCCGTATCTTCTCATCTTTTCTTTGGATTAAATGTTGACATTTTGGACTCCTGCAGATGTTTTTTCAGTAGAATGCCGATCTAATGGGTAATATTCTTTCTTGTGTGTGTCACTGTGCTTCTCTGTTAGAAAATGATCTCCAGATAGTTTGGGTTCAAAGTTTAAAAATCATCTCAGGGTGATACTCCCAGGGAGTCCTCTGGTCTCATGTGGTCCAGTTAGTATGGCCATTTTTAAGAATTTGAGTTTTGATCTGCATTTTTCATCTGTTCTAACCAAGATCATCTATTGTGCCCCCGGTCAGATGGGTCAGTGGTGGTAGCCAGGCACCATCTAGTTCTTCTGGTCTCTGGGTAGTTGAGGTCATGGTTCATGTAGGCTGTCAGCCTTGTAAACTTCTTTCTTCTCTGATTTTGGTTTCCTTCATACTCAGGGTTGTATCTTAGATGGCCACTGGCAAACTTTTAAGACTCCAGATGCTACTCCCTTCACTAGGATTCAGAACATGAACATTATAACCTGTATTATGCCAGTTGACCGAGTTGTCCCATGCAACTACGGTCCTAAGCTTTCAAACCTACAAAACCGATCTCAGAAGGTGTTTGATTATATCTGAGAAGTATCTCTAGTTGTGTCTTCAATGAATCTACACGCTTGCTCTGTGGTTGCTTTCAAGATCCTCTCTTTGCCTTGGTGTTCTGCTCCTTCACCGTAACATACCCACGTGTGGTTTTATTTTTATTTATCCTGCTCAGTACTCATTACATTTCCTAAATTGACAAATTCGTGTCTAATCAATTCTGGGAAGTTCTCAGTCATTCTGTCTTTAACTGTTACCCCCTCTTTATTCTCTGTTTGTTCCATAGGAATCCTATGTGAGGCCTGCCCTGGACTCTTCCCCTTCTGCCTGCCGTGTTCCTAACCTCTCGTGGTTTCCGTCTCTTGGTGTCTGGTGCCACCGTCCAGTTCCCGCAGATTCACCCTCCCCATCACAGCCCCCTCCGCCTCTGTGTGGTCGGTGCTGTGAACACCTCAGTGGTTCTAGTCTTCGTTTCCGAGAGCTGTACTTTGTTTCTTTCCCAGTCGGTGTGCCTTCTTCCGAGGTCTTTTCCTTAGGACTTTGAGTTCTTTAGTTTTATCTGTGCTCAGGAATCCACGAGGTCTAAGCCCGTGCTTTGTCTCAGCTGACTGTCATGGAGAATCATTTTCCCGTGTTCTGAAATTTTTGACTGTCAGGGTTTTGCCTGTGGGAATGCTGAGCTGCCTGGGCTGAGGGCGCCTGTCCACAGAGGTTTGGGTTTGCTTCTGGTGGGTGCTGGCAGCCTCTCGGGCCCAGGCTACACATCCTGTGGGGTTTCTCTGTGGGGTTCCATGGCATGTGGGCCCATCTTGCAGGCAGGTGGAGCAGGGAACCCTCTGTTGCTTCCCCATGGGGCTGGTTTTCCTCTTCTCCCAGGGAGGAACCTCCCAGTGTCTCCGCTCTGTGCAGGCCTTGGGTTCCCGCCTCCCCATGACCATGCTCTCAGCTGTCTACCCACACCCCTGTAAATCCCAGGTCACCAGGAATGACTCCCCCTCACACACACAAAAATGCAAAACCTCAGCTGAAGGACGCCCTGCTCATTCCCCTAAATGAGCCACTTCCCAGTCTCTCCCAGC